GAAGGGAAAAGAATAAAGTTTTTTCTCATTCTTTCATACAATTCGGAATGATTTAATAACATTAAGACTTTCATTAATCTTATATGAGCGTAAAACTGGCAAAGTCTGTACGCTTAGGGCGATCGGCATGTTTATCTGATGTCTTAACTGAATCTTTTCGGCACAAAGACTCTATCTTTTATAGATAACATCATAAAGTAACCAATTTAGGTTCGTTAAACTGAAGACATCGTCGGGCAATCGATTTCTTTGGGCTTATGATGCAGAAATGTCGGATTTCATCGACTATGTCATCGTTTGTTTTTAGCCGGCCACCCGTCTTTTCAAAACACTTCGGTGCCACGAAACTCATTAAACCAGCTCCAAGTTTCTTTATCATCAAGTAGATTTAAATTAAGTTTAATTTAGCAATGGATATAAACTCTGCGAACCACAGATTGCAATCTGTGCCTTCTGTTGCGCCGTAAACGTCGTACTGGCGACTGGCGTCAGACATATGAGTCACAATAGCGGCCTATCACGCCGAAACTGTTTTACGCATACCAAGGTCAAAGTTTCCTCCCTTGCTGCACGGTAAACAAAACTTAGCTATTTTAGCTTTAATTTGACGTATAAAACGTTGTTTACCTTGAATAGTATCCAAGCAGCTACCATTTAAAATCCCGGCATTCTTTTAAAAACACCCTGTATTTTAATCCACGTAAATTTCACGCCTAAATAACCCCATTTCAGAAGATTTGCATATTCAGTGTAACCATACCTCGATTTATACATTACCTGATTTTAGAGTTTTGGTTCAAGAAGGAAGTACCGGTAATTATTTTATAGGGCAAGCCTACTTGCGTGCAACCGCATCTTGTTTACAAAAAGGTAAATTAAGTAATAAATTACAGCATCTCAAATAATATATCATAATTTATCACTCTATAATGCATAAAAAATATCATTTCATTGATATAATATTAGTTAACTGAATGATAAATGTTCATATCTTTGACAAGCTGTAACTTCTGAATGAAAACCCCTTTTTTAACCAGGTTAACGCACACCCCCCTTTCGAAAAATGACTGCAAGGTTTCATTCAATTGTGCCAAATACTTTAGTAGGTATCAGACGTTTTCCAAATTATAAACTTGAGTTTAATGGCATAATATTAAAAGCCTTGAGGAACTGTAACTTTGATTAGATGGACCCTTTACGAAGCGGTTTGTGCTGTTAAAGTAAATGTTATTATCAATGTGTATGCATTAATTGACACGCATCAAGTATTGAAACGTTTCTGTTTTCAAACATCAGACTAGTGAGTAAAACGAAAAGATGGGCCTATTGAGGGCAGCGGTGCCAATCTGTCGTATACTGACGACTGATTGGCACCTCTGCTGCGGCCGCCGTCAGCTTGTCACCACGACAGATTGGCACCACTCATTTCTCGAGGTTCCAATCTGTCGTGTACTGTTACGACTGATTGGCACCTCTGCGGCAGCCGTCAGCTTGGCACCACGACAGATTGGCACCACCCCTTTCTCCAGGTTCCAATCTGTCGTGTACTGTTACGACTGATTGGCACCTCTAGGAGCGGTGCCAATCTGTCGCGGTGCCAATCTGATGCGGTGCCAATTAGACGCGTACCCGGTCTCTCCAGCCCGCAGTTTGGATGAGCCCAAAAGCAATGGCTGCCTGACCTGCTTCCGTGTTGACATTTTGCAGACCTGATTTGGCTGATGGTCACTTCCATAAGATTTTTAAGGTCTCCTGAAATGGGTGTCTGGTGTTTGCCCTGATGTTTTTAAAGAATTGCTATATTTTGCCAACAATTTACAGATCTATAATGCTACACGCAGTAATATAATTGTAAAAAGCAATGAATAAAATTAAATCTGGACCTATTCTTGTACTAAAAGACTTATTTTTTTTTATTTAAAACACGTTCAAGAATTACATAGGTCTACACTAATTAACTAAAAATTGACATTAGCTACAGCAAGTCTAGGATGATGGTGTATTTGTAAGAGTTTTTGTTTAATCATGTATTGTTTTTTTTTTTTGCTGATAAAAGACTTCGGTAAATATAGAAGTCAATTATAAAATCAATTCTTCATAACTATTTCATCCTCAAGAGACCAAAAGACAATTCATTTAATTGCTTTATCGTATTTAGTCAGCAACACAGGCTTTTATGGGATACGCAGCTGAATGTGAATGCAAAGGTCACAGTTTTAATAATGATGATAAAATTCAGGTATACCAATCCAAATTATGAACAAAGAGTTGAACTAGCTGAAATGCTTCTTTAACAGTGGCGGATCCAGAGGGGGCGAAGGGGGCGACCGCCCCCCCCCTCGGGCATACGCAAAAATATATTCTTTTACTGCATACAGTAGAGCATAATTTCGTGAAATAATTTGTCTCACTAACTTTGGACAAAGAAATTGTATAAAACTGTCATTTTGCAGACTTAGTTTACACAAATTTTTCGGGGGGGGGGGGGGGTACCCCCGAACGCCCTTCAGACCTACTGGTTCGCCCCTCCCCTTGTGACTGATCTAGATCTGCCACTGTTCCTTTAATCTAAAAATAAGTTATCAAGTTATGTTAAAATAATTATAATGGGGCCAGGGTCAATTTTTGCCTTTGACTTCTGTGTTCTGTACCTATGACCATGAAGGTGTCATGCAAGTAAGCTGTGTATCGCAGCTGAGTATCTTCAGTGAAAGCATAAAATATACTATCAAATTGGTGGAAAAGAAGAAGATTGAGGTGTTTGATGCAGCTCTTGCTCTATAAACATTCTTTTGCTCACTCACTTTTGAACCCACCAACACACATTCCTTCTTGAAGAGTGTGGTCATAAGTTTTTCCTTACTATCCGGTGGTTTCATTCGTTGAGGGAAGTCATTTAATCTATCATGCCCGCTATCTGGAACCTCAATATTACATAATATGATATATCCTAAAGGGAAGTCTGATGTGATGGAAGGTTTGACCAGACGACATTGTGTGGATTTTCTTCCCACTTGTATGAGGAAACTGGTAGGTACCTACTGGGATAAAGCCCATACAAATTATTTGCATCATAATAAAAGTAACCATGATTTCATTTTGTCTGGATCGTAGTCATCAGGATGTTCCAACAGCTCGTCGTTTGCCTGTGCCCAACGTCTGTAACTTTGCACGAGTCCTCATCTCCAATTGACATGCCTCTACGCCTCTACTAACAGTACCATGTCGTAGTCGCACATTAACTCCAAGACAATACCAGTGTGTTTGATCATAGCCATAGATAAAACGGTCTATGGCATAGCTTGCCATGTTAACGATCGAGCGGTCCAGAAATGTGCCACATCCAAGCCATAATGTCTGTAGCATATAGATCTAAAAGAATTCATGACATCAGTGAGGAGACAAATATCAAGTTTAAATAGAAATCATGGTAGCAACCAAAGTTTGTGAATTTTAATTTCGTCCAAACCTCTTGGGCATATAGTCTTTGTCACTCACTTCAGAATCATTTAGTTTGTTTGCAAAAGCCTCTCTGAGAGGTAGACTGGTTTCTTCAAACCTGGATTCCGAGTTAACATAGTTGTATGGATAACCTTAATGCACAAGAGTTTGTATGCTCTTCAAGTAAAAGCCTAGCACTTTGAATAAATTTATTTTTAACTAGTCCATCAAGGCTGGCTGACATCATGCGGAAACTGTTGAGAAATCGTAGCCACATATCTTCCGATTTTCACCGATATAGCTATCAATTTTACGAACTTCACAGCCCTTCGGTTCGGTACATACTCATTGCTAATTATGAACACTTGATTTGGTCGTAGTTGGAGGTTATGAATCCAAATAATTGGAATGAAATTGGGGATTCTACTATTCTACAACTCAAGTTACATTTGTTACACAGTGAGTGTCTAAACTTTGAGTTAGGCAAGTGATCGTGATCGGCACATTTTACTGTGCGTCAGGCAATGCATCGTCAAACATCGACAACAAAGATCACATTCTGTAGCCTCTTCCATGTTTTTTACGCTCTTTCGTCAGTCATTATATATAACGTTTGGCAATTGATTTAGGCAAAGGCACGTAGCTCGAAGCACCAGGTTCCTTATATGTAAATTTACTTAGTAGGATCCAACCTGATTTTTCATCGCTATATAGCTTCGTCTTCCTCTTGGAGCAGCTTGGCACCATCACTGTGGAGCAGCTGAAGTTTCTCGTTGAAATTGTTCCATCTTCGGGATGTTCGTAACGAACTTCCAAAACCAGGTTGTATTTGAGTGATCTTGAGATGTCCAGCTCTCTGGTGAGGATTGACTTCACAGTTTTAAGCGCTGCCTTCACAAACAGCTCCAGGTCGGGAAACAAACCAAACCATCACATTTGATAGTATAGTCACGTGCTGTGTTGAGGGCTTTTTTCAATTCCTATGTAAGGCGTGGATGTGAGGTGGATGCTGGAGGACTGTCTCTCTCTACTGAGGGCGGCGTTGGTAGTGTAGGTAGTTGAGATGAAGAATGCTTTTCTAGTCAGTTTAGCATTTCAGCTATTTGGCTAGTATGTGAAGGCGGTTTTCTTTTTGTAGGCTTGCTAGATGCAACAGGACTCGCAGAATGTACGTCTCACCACTGGCGATTTCGGCTCCCGTAGAGGGCGTCACTGCAGCACTACGAAGTTCTTTTATAAGTATGCGATCAGAGAGTCAACGTGTATGGGTGGAGCGTAGAAATTGGCAAGAGTAAGGCAGACTGTCTGATGTTTGTCTCGAGCCTGAGTAGATAGGAAGAATGCCTCTTTGCAGACGACACAAGTACATTACTGTTCCATGTGAGCAGACTGCAAGTGGACTGGCGAACTATGCCTGACATCTCCAAACAGCCTGCTTACTCGTTGGCCTCTCACTTACACAAGGCTGTAAAGTGGAGGTACTTGCATAGGACAGTGAAGGGAACTGGTGAAAGGCTGTGGTGTAATTGGGTGGAGGGAAGGCTACAGTACTCCTATATATGGGATGTTGCTTGCTCGCGAACCACACTACTACTTCAACAACTTCAACACTTCAAGAGACAGCCATCTTCGACCTTCTCTTCAACACTGTAAGTGTTGTTTTTATAACAATATTTGTTTACGCTTTTGTTTTCTACTTTAATCACATCAACTAACAGTGCAACTAATTCAGAGTTTATCTGTTTGTAGTAAATATTTAAATTGAAACAGGCTAGGGTTTTTTTCTTTAGTAAACTACAGTTACAGTATATTTTATATATAATATTTACATTTATTTCTTTTATCATCTATACTATCATGTTTTAAAAATAAAATTTTTAATTTAGGCTTTAGCACACCATATGTTTTACAGAGTGGTCTAAGGGTTAAAATCAGAAACAGGGTTGTCCAATCTACATGTATTTTCTTATTTTGAGCATAAAATTATTTCATGTCGCTACTGCTTTTTCAATAGGTAAATAGTATTTTGTAGAAATACTTTTTGGGATTTTATTTTTACTAAGGACAGTCTACTGACTCAACACTACTCATAGTTCAGATATAACTTGACTATCTGGGAGTTGGATTTTAACTGATTATAATAAATGCTCAAAATCAGTCGAGCTAGGATTTTTTCTCTTTCAATAAACTTCAATACAGAGTTTATATGCAATATTTGTTTGTCTACACATCTTTCATCTGTACTAACATTTTCTTAATACTTTGAGTTAATAATTTTAGTATTAACATATGTCGTTACAAGGTTCCAGTCTTTATATGGAGCAGGGTTTTTCTGCCTACATATATTTTATAGTGAATCTAGTTGCTAACACAGTTTCCATATCTTTCACATCTCAACTTGTGTTATTGTTAGCCAAACATGCACGTTTATAGCATAAAACCTATTTCGTATCCAGCTTGGTTTTATTTAAAGTTAACACGTTCTGGATTCTGTGTTTGGTACTATGATATATACTTATGAGTTTTATTTGGCTCTCACTTATACAAAACTAATACTAAAATATTCTTAAAATTTGGGTTTCTAGGAACATATACACAGATCATTTAAATTTTTTATTTGACTTTAAATTTTATATTATAAATATTTTTCTTGGAAATAACCATTTGTCCAACAATTTTTTTTGTGTTATTTTGGAGGGACCTCCGTTTGTTTCTCTTCACACACCTCCTCGCCCGCGTCTGGTCTCCCGAGTACATCGGAGGCTGGTCTTGCGGCCTCCTGGAGACCCTCTTCGAGCGACGAGGGCGGACACGTGGAGGTCTCTCCATCATAGGGCAGGGCTCCTCCTCTGGTGTCTCCAACATAGGGGGCAAGGGCTCCTCCTCCTCGAGTCTCCCCAAGACTGGGACTAATGAAGGGTTATAGTTCGCTTCCTCATTTATGTGGTCCCAGTTTGGGTTTTTATTATCCATAAAATGGACGACTGAGGGGGAGTCTGTAAAGTAAAAAGAAGAATATTAATTTCGCAGTATTCATAATATGTTTAAGATTAATTAGATTTTATCAAAAACATGGTGTTTTGTTTCAGAATCATGTCAACTTTGAACGAGAAGCTTCTAGCTCTACAGCAAGTGCCATCACTGCCTGTATATCTACTAAAGACCTTAAAAACAAGGACGGCTACACAATCGTCGATGCCAAAAGGGTAGAGACTAGGTTTGGCATCACTATAGTTTGTGAGATTGTCATGCCCGACCAAAGTCACGCTGTCACATATCTACCTTCAAGATTCCACCACGAACTTTGCAACGAGGACTTTGTACAGTTGAAGAGCTCAGGATACAAGCTGAGGACCACAGGCATGTCTTGGCAGGGCTGTCGACCTTCTTATTTACAAGGAGTGAAACACAATGTTTTAGAGTCCTAGAGTTGTTTGATATTACATTTGGTTTTGTACAGACAATAAAAATGTTATTTTCCTGACTTTTGCACATCTGTTTTAAGTTGAGTGAACATATTGCAATTTTTTTATACTGGATAGATATGATTTTTTATACACATATCATCAAACATCGTTTAATAATAGCAATTTGTGAATTTTCTTTTACTGTGATAATTTTAGATTATATAAAAAAAGACTAATTCATTAGATAATACCCATTAGTCAAAGATCAAAGATGTGAAGTTTGGTGCAGATCCGTCAAAAGGGCTCCGCCCCAGTGGCTCTGGAGTTTTCCATTCCTTACTGCTGTTCATAAGCTGCTCCTTGCACGGCATTGGCCCTGCATCAAACATCAACCCTAGCAGGTATGCAGTGTCCATGGCTTCATCCACTGCCATCAGACCAGCTATAAAACTGATGTAGACACTTGGCTTGGTAGACATGCTGGATGGAATGACTTCCCAGACAGCACAAGGATATTTTATAAATATTTTTGAAATAAATATACATCCTAAAAATATTTTATATATATTAATATTATTTTAAAAAAACTTTTACATTTTTTTTAAATTTTTTAATAATATGTTAACATAATAGTTTAAGGTTGAATTTATTTACAAAATATTTTTAATATATTAAGACACAATAATTTAGTTTTTTATGTAAAAGTTTTTAAAATATTTTGTTTACCTAAAAAATATAGGCTAACTTAAGAATATTTATAGAATTGTAATGGTAAAAATATTTTTAAAAACACTTTAAACGCCTTTTTGAAGAATATTATAGAAATACTAGCTGACCCGGCGAACTTTGTATCGCCTCAGTTATAGGTTTCCCCTAAGACAGACCAATGGAAAGAAAGTACCGTTACGTTTAATTTTCAAGATGATCTCGTTCGCATCGCTCAATCACGTCCTGGTTGAAGTTCGTTCGCTACGCTCACTCAACTTTGGGTTGGAGCTCGTTCGCTACGCTCACTCACCTTTAGGTTGGAGCTCGTTCGCTGCGCTCACTTGCCTTCAGGTTAGCTCGTTCGCTACGCTAACTCGCCTCCAGGTTGAAGTTCGTTCGCTACGCTCACTCACCTTTGGGTTGGAGCTCGTTCGCTACGCTCACTCACCTTTAAGTTGGAGCTCGTTCGCTGCGCTCACTTGCCTTCAGGTTAGCTCGTTCGCTACGCTAACTCGCCTCCAGGTTGAAGTTCGTTCGCTACGCTCACTCACCTTTTGGTTGCAAATTAGCTGTTGTCATAAAAATGTAAAAGAAATAATAGTGCTGCACCCTGTTGGTAATCCTTGTAACTTTAATGCTATTGAACATCATAGAACAGAACCAACTTGTTTAATTGAAACAGCTGTTAAGATTCATTAATTCCATTTCTCATAAGGTTAACATGGGAAACTCCAGAGCCACTGGGGAGGAGCCCTTTTAAGAATTTCGAAACGGGAAATAGTTTACGTCCGATTCGCATACCTACAGAATTTACACACCAAATTTCATAACGATCGGTGAAGTCGTTTCGGAGGAGTTTGCAGACAAACACTGTGACACGAGAATTTTATATATTAGATTTTATAAATAATAGCCTGTTTAAGTTTTAAATACCCCCGTCGCAGCAAACCTGCAGACTAAGCGAGTTCCCATTTGCCTGATTGGATTTACACTAAAATGTCTACTAAAAAATATAACATTTATTTCCTATTTAAATAGAATAAGTTTAACAAGTACTTAGGTTTGCTGCATCAGGGAGGGTAAAACTCTTTTTTTTTGTTAAATGTTAATAGTTGGTAAGAAATAAAAACATTTTCCAAATTTGATCAAAGTATGTTCATATTTTGATCAAACTTGGCAAATTTATTTATTTTGTACTAAGCTATCAATATTTTACTCAAAAACACACTTTATTAGTTTCCTTGTAGCAGCAAACCTAGGTACTCGTTAAACCTAATGTTATTAAAATATATTTAACTGAAAATCAATTCAGACAAATGGAAATTCGCTTAGTCGGCAGGTTTGCTGCGGCGGGGGTATTTGGATCAAAAATGGGAAAAACCTATTTTTACCATATAAAACCTCCCGTTACCATAGTCTGATCATGCTGGTTCGCAAACTTGTTTGAATATAAATGTAAATGTTTGGTACACGTTTACACCAAATTTCATCAAAATCGGATAATTTTTGCTCGAGTTATCATGCTAACGGACATATATATATTTTATACTTCTTACTAATCTATATATATAAAATCCAATGTATGTTTGTTTGTTTGTCTTTTATGGACTCCGAAACCGTTTGACAGATTGTAATGAAACTTTCAGACATTATTAAACTTCAACCCGGATGCGAGTTAGCGTAGCGAACCCAGGACGTGATTGAGCCATGCGAACGAGCTCATCTTGAAAATGAACGAGCATTTGACATAAAACCACATTAGGACAGGACGACGTCAGTCGGGCCAGCTAGTATTATAAATGTGAAAGTTTGTGTGTTTGTTTGAAGTTCAATCACGCATAAACTACTAGACGATCGGGCTGAAATTTGGCATGATGATAGCTCACATTGCCGATTAACATATAGGTATATTCTTATTTCAAAAATCCTTTCGAGCTCCGCCCCAATGGCTTTGTAGTTCAAGGATTCATATTTAAAGGGAATTAAAGAATTTAGTCAGCTGTTTCAATTTAAAAAGTTGGTTCTATGATATGCAAAAGCATTAAAAGTTATAAGATTTACCAACAGGGTGCAGCTCTATATTTTTTTGGAAATTATGAAAACAGCTAATTTTAAGTAAGCAGCAACATAGGCTAACACTGTGATATGCAATGAGAACTGTCAAAGTAGGATTGTTTACAGTTATGTTTATGTTTTTAATTTCTAGAATAATTATTTTTATTTTGTGAACTTTTAATAATTTATTTTATTCTGTTGTTTAGGTGAAGTGGTGGAACATTACGGCTATGGTAGATGTGTAATACTATAGTATACCGTAAATTTAAAGAAGCAAATTATATCAAAATATCTCCCCCCCCCCCCCATTGCAAACGCAAAGCTTGAGTTGAGTATAACTGCAATAAGCATCTTATACTTATATCATATCCCATATAGTACACATCTGTCTGTCACAGGTCACAGCGGCAGACGACATAATGCTTGCGATTGGGTGATTAGTAGTCGTGACAACTTAGCTTTACCAATGCTAGAAGAGGTCGCTTTCTAAGTGGCCGACTTATAGTAGCTTGTGGTTGAGTGATTAATGATTAGTAAATAAATCATGGCAACTTGTGGAATAACCCCGAGATAGAATAGAAAATCAAACAGAATAAATAAGTGATGTTTTTATGCCATTGTTCTATTATCTTATTTTTAGTGTTGTTATTATCTTTAAAAAGGCTACTACAATTTTATACTTTTTATAAGTTACGTTATCGAGCATTTATCGACCTTATTCATTCCTAAAACCTGTTTAAAACAAGTTTGTATCAATGTGCGTTTTCAAGTGTTGGTGTTCTATGTACTTATTTATTAAATGACGACCTTCGTATACGGAGGTGAATAACGACGCCTTGTACGGCCTGAAGATGGTTCCCTGTGAATCGAAACTATAGTTGCCACAAACAGCATTTTGGATTACTGAATGCAGGTATTTAAACCATTATAAATATTCAAACGTAATCCGGAGGCTTAACAACTCTTCAAAATGAAATTAAAAATATCACATTTATTCCCTATTTAAACAGCCTTATACCGGCTGCTAGCGGCTTATAGCGGGGTTTACTAGTACTTAGGTTTGGTGCAACAGGGAGGGATCAGAAGTACAAAAGTAGGTAAAAAATATTACTATTTCACTTTCAGTATCTTTACCTCACAATACCAATGCAAGGTTTTTTTCAAACTCGAGCCCAAAAATCTTCTAGATGATTCCAAGACAAACAAAGATACTAATTAGAGCTAAACATCCAGGAGATTTCTTCTAGTGTTTACATGGAGACAGACATTTGTGGAAAAGACACAAAGATAATTCCTGGATGATCTTCTTGTTGATTTATTAGCTTCCACTTCACTCACAATTAGGCGTTCATGAAAACCCAGTCTGTATTGCATTGTTAACTTTTCTCATTCCATTGAAAAGAACTGTAAAATATGTCTTCTTTATCAGGCAGTTTACTTGCGATAACAAATGTTTTTCTTGATGTTGATCCTAGCCGGGCATAAGCAATGAGATCTGAAGGAGGTATGTTGCTGTTACTTTCGATACACACAATCAGGAATTGAGCGTGGAATTTTACTGGGTCACCTGCACAACGAGATTTGTTTATAGACTGAGAGTATTGTATGGAAGAGGTAAAATGTTGATGTCATCTGACTAATATGATGGTATAAAATGTTAATTCAATATGCACCAATTGTTTTAGAATATACTAATTGATGCTTTGTCATGTTTATAGTATTCATACTAAACATTTATAACTGATAAAATAGGTTAGTACTGTAATTACAGAAATAACGAGAACATTTTGTGACAAGGCAAAGGAAAAACAAAAAAAAATAGTTTTTTTCTAAACTACTAGCAAATTAACATGTTCTGTTGGGGTTTGAATCTAGAATAAAAGCTTGTTGGAATTTTGAATTTATTTCCAGTATTTATGTCAGTAGGGCCTAAAAAGATATATTGACGTTGCATGAGTCTAAATTAACAGGCATTAAAATGTTTGGAAATTGACTGGCCGCTTTTTCAATTAGTGCGGCTAGTTAGAACAAATAAATTAACAAGATATTTGAGTCTAGCGTCATATACATTAAAAACTCTCATGCCGCCATTTACATTAATATGAAATCCGATCTGTAAAGACTCATGTTGAATCAGTTAATCAATAAAAGGTCCATTCTCATCAAACTTAAGTCAATCGAAAGTGTTGTGAATGTGATGAAATATAAGAAAATTACTACTCGTGTCTACTCTGCCTAGTGACTATACAAGCCTTTCCCTTAAAACGCCTAAATTTTGTGAACAAACTATAGTATACCGTATACGTCTATGTTATTGCATATCTATATATTAAGGTAAGCATGTTTCTTTAAAACCTTTTTTCTCAGCTCGTGTGCATCGCAAGGAAAATCTACGCATACTGTTGGAAAGATATTTACCAGCAGATGTGCAGAATTCCTTCATAAACTAAAATAGGCTCAAAAATAAGCACAAAATTTGAATTTAAAATATAAAAAAAATAACATGGACCTTATGGGTTGCCATGCTGGTTGACAAAATAACAACGAAATGAACAGAAAATCATAACAAATGGAAGAAATTCCAATCTCATGTTTTATTTCCAGCGTGGGGTGAAAATAGAGAAGTCTGTACATTAGATATTTTTGGTTGAGTTTTCGACCATTGGGACGACCTCTTATATTTATTATATCGTTGCATGAGGAAATTTGTAAAATGTTACAGCTGTTTTACCTGGGTACACCAAATAGTCGACACCAAATTTGTGACCATCAGTGATGTAATACCCTTTCTCCCACAAATCTCTAAACACAAAATACTTCAGCTTCTCGTGATCAGATTCTGGGAACTTCCAAATAACTTTCTTGGTGTCTGTATCACCCAGCCATTGTTCACCTGTAATTATTTTTATATTGTTAATTCCCTTGGGTCAGAAAAGAAGCACATTTTTAAACAAACAAAAACTCTATTCACAGTAGGCATATTCATAACCAAGATCAAGTGCTCGATTTGTGTGAACCAAATGTTTAAAACGGTCTTAAAAATGGTTATATTAATTGAGCGGCCCAATGCTGCATCTACAGAAGACTCCTTCTCACCTTTTAACCGGACTGCAATTGGCGGAAATGACGTCTCTTTAACCGGACAATTTTTATCAGCTCATCGGTTTAACCCGACTAGATCGGCATGAAGTGGGCAGTACTGAAACGACTGTTCTCAACAGGAAAGATATATGAGACCAGTAGTCATGTGTCTAAATACAATGCTCTCCTAAATTTTAAAGGACTAAATTTTCCTAAATTTTACTGTCAAATACTGTATACAGTATGCATTTAAACGGTCCTTTTTAACGAGTTCTTGAAGACGTCGGTTTAACTGGAAAAAGTGTTATCCGGACTGCCCTCGGTCCCGAGGAGTCCGGATAAGAGGGAGTCTACTGTAGTTTTACTGCTTTTAAATGCGCTAAACAAATTTATACGTTACAATAGATAATAAATCACCTAAGTTTGATAAAAAGATAGCCACCCAGTACTTTCCTTCAAGATGTTTAATGTTCTGACGCAGAACATAAAAACATCTTAGGTTCTGCCTCAACTAGAGCAGTGTTTCATTTCCTATTAGTCAATAAAAAAATAAAATACCTCCGCTGCAGCAAATGTGCAGACTAAGCAAATTTCCATCTGCCTAATTGGATTTATACTAAAATGTCTCCTTAGAAATATCACACTTATTCTCTATTTAAATAGCATTAGTTTAACGAGTACTCTAGGTTTGCTGCAACAGGGTGGGTAAAAAATTTTCATTTTGTAAAATGTTAATAGTTTAGTTTGAAATAAAGCATTTTCCAAACGTGATCAAAATATGTCCATAAACAAGCAAACAACAACAGTTTACTTATTCTCCATAAAAATAATACAAATTTAAATTGGAATTTTCTCCATGGCCATTAGGCGCACAATAACGCTTCAATATACTGAAATATTTGTTTTTGAAGCTCTTCAAAATGGTTCGGAAAGAAATTGCTAAATTTTATGTTTTTATGGCCAAAAATGAGAAAACCCAATTTTTGCCCCATAAACCCCCTTTTCCATGGTCCGATCATGCTGGCTTGCAAACTCGTTTGAATAAATGGTTTATACTGAATTTAATCTAAATCTAATCATTTTTGCTCCATGCTAACGGACACACACCCATTTATACATATGAAATTGAACGGTTGGTGTTTTTGGACTCTAGGAACCTCAAAACAAAAATACCCCCGCCGCAGCAAACCTGCAGACTAAGCGAATTTCCATTTGACTGATTGGATTTACACTGAAATGTCTACTTAAAAATATAACATTTATTCTTGATTTAAATAGAATTAGTTTAACAAGTACTTAGGTTTGCTGCATCAGGGAGGGTAAAACTTTTTTTTTTGTAATATGTGAATAGGTAGTGAGAAATAAAAACATTTTCCAAATTTGATCAAAATATGTTTACAAACAAGCAAACTACAACAGTTTACTTATTCTCCATAAGAATAACATGGGAATTTTAAATTTACAATTTTTTGGAATTTTCTCCGTAACTATTAGGCGCATAACAACGCTTCAATATACTAAATTATTTGTTTTTTTAAGCTCTACAAAATGGTTTGGAAAGAAATTGCTAAATTTTATGTTTTTTGGGTCAAAAATAGGAAAAACCTATTTTTACCCCATAAAACCCCCCGTAAACCCCCGTTCCCATGGTCCGATCATGCTGGATCGCGAACTCGTTCGAATAAACGTACGTTTACACGTTTGTACCAAATTTCATCCAAATCGGATCATTTTTGCTCGAGTTATCGTGCTGACGGACACATATATATATATATAAATATATAAATATATATATATATATATATGAATTTGAACGGATGGTGTTTTTGGCCTCCAGGGACCTCAAAACGAAAAAAAAAATCGGTCCCGCGTCCAGGTCTTACCATGAGTACTACGGTAATAGCTTATTCCCTATATGGGAAATTCGCTAAAATAAATCGGTCCCGGGTCCAGGCCATGAGTACCATGAGTTACCATGAGTACTACAGTAATGTAGCTTATTCCCTATATGGGAAATTCGCTAAAATGAGAATTGGCTTAGGAAAAATAACCTTTTCATCACTCCTTACCAAAAGTTACAATATTATTTTCAATAACAGCTAATATCAAAGAAAGTTTTTAATTGCTTCACAAGCTCTAATTTAGAGGGAGGTAAAAAGTTCAGCTGATTTTCCTTCCCTCTAAATTTACTTTCCCTTGCTCTCGATTAGTTCTCCATTTATCCACTAAGTGTGCTAGTGTTTTGTTAGGTTTTTTTTCATTATTTAAATCAGCTGTTTTCATTGTTACACACCAAAGAAATCACAGGAAATATATGAAAAGGAATACAGATGTTTAGTCGTAGTAATGAAATATACTATATTACTCTGTTAAAGAATATTTTAAGAAACCCTTCACTTACTCCTCCAAAGAGCTCCTTGCGGCCTTCGCAACAGAAAATTTGTTTATTTTGCTAAGCTAACTTAAAATGTAAATAGTGTAAATATGTACAGGTACCGTTATGTAAAAATGTAATTGACGTGATTAGATGGGCTACAATCAAGGATTTTGTAATGGTAAGTAGAGTAATAATAAAGAAGGGAGAGAAAGGGACAACGAACAAATACATTTTAAATTAATATTAAGTTAGGTATCTGATAAAAAGATGGGGCATTTGCCAGGAATTATTAAGGAAGTTGACAAGTAAGCCTTAATAAATACATTTTAAATATACTTTTGGTGCTGTTAAAATATTACTTCTTTTGACAAATTTCCTAGATGTTCAGTTAAAAAAATCTAGTTTTCGGAACATAGTACTTTACTGATAGCTTGTTTCATTTTATTGCAGTAGGTCTTTAAATACTTGTTCATTCATAAGGGATATTATGTTAAGGCAAAACTATTTGTCCTAAATTTATTGATTAGGTTGTTAATTCTAAATTAACTTTAAGAGATGTATATATTGTTACTTACTTGTAAATGTTTGAACAAGGACTGGTGGGGAAAAATTCTCAGCAGATTTATTGAGCTCATTTTTCAGAATTTCTTCTCTGTCCAGTTCAATGTCCATAATTTTTTCCTCACCGACCTCACCTTCATCGCTCCTCTTTCTCTTTTTAGTATTAAGACCCAATAACTTCCTTCGCTTTCCATCTATGATCCTGTCAATCATGGAAGTTACTTGCTGTCGTCGTTGATCTTCATAACAATCCATCTGTTGGAAGAAAGTAGCATTAGTCTAATTCAACTGGAAATTGTAGGTTAAGATTTGGTTATGAACGTTACAATGCATGTAACTCGCAAACCATAATTTCTAGTCGTAAAATACCATCATTAGAGCATTACCGGAGTATTCTTTTAATCATGCTCTGAAGATAGCTACCTGCAAAAAGGCCGAAACGTACTTTACCCTTAAGTTTGAAAGTTACTTTTGATATGACACGGTTATACTCCAAAGACTAACAACCGTAGAAAATTTATTGCAATCACCTTTAACCGTAGCAAGAGACGTATTATCTTCGACAACACCATTGATGGCAGTGCTATTCCCAAGAAGACATCAGTTCATGATCTTGGGGTGGTGTTCTCCTCAAATCTTACATTTCTTGATCATGTGGAGATGATTTGTAGCAAGGCATCAAGGGCACTGGGCTCCATCATTCGCACCTCTAAACATGGTCTCAGCATCACAGCACTGAGATATCTCTTCATCTGCCTGTTAGCTCAGTACTTGGATATTGCAGCATTGTGTGGACTCCCTTTAAAGGACTGTTCACACCAGCATAGCCAGACGTAATACGTTTTCGGAATACGTCGCTAAACTAGCTCTTAATGTTATTTAAAGAGAGTGTTCACACCGGCGTATTACGTGAGCTACTGGAACTACGGCACTACCTACCGCTACGCTGGCTAGCTATGCATAGCTTGCATCGCCGAATATGCGCATGCACACTAGCACACCAGGCTGTCACTGCCAACTTCCATCCACCTCACGACATCCTTTTTGATGAGAGACAACACTTCACTAAATTCACATTGGTCCAGTCTGTAGAATGACTCGAACTTTCCATAATCTTTCATCAAATAATCCATTAAATGGTTTCTTCCTCAGTTTATTGGGTGTATCAATTTCAATGATTGTGTTGCCGAATATAATAAAAACAGTTCATTGTTACTATAACTATCACTATTCATTCATGGCAGGGTGAAGGAGGGATCGCACCATGGTACTGTATGAGACGCCATGATCTACTTCGGGCACGGCAAGATGTATGTTAGACAGCAAGAGTCTTCAAGTGTGTGGCGCTGGCGCCCAATGGTGGGGAGAATGCTGCAGCGGCTCACCGGCTATTTACAGTAGCCGTCAGACGTAGCGGCGGTGTGAACAGTACACTGGCGACATATTAATACACCGAATAGGTCTGCTGACGTCTGGCCTCGCCGGTGTGAACAGGCCTTTACGAATGGGCAAAGTGACTGCCTACAGAAGATCCAAAGAAGGTTTTTTAGAGTGGTTGGACTCTAGATGGGTTACTACGACGGCGCTGAAGGGCCACCAACTGTTAAAAAAATTTTGTCTTAATCTCTGAGTTAAAACTTAGAATTCTGAGTTTAAAGTCAGAATATAACAAGTGGGCGTTCCACTCTGAGATTAAAGTCAGAATTCAACTAGTGGGCGTTCCCTCTGATATTAAAGTCAGAATTTAACAAGTGGGCATTCCTCTCTGAGAAAAAAGTCAGAATATAACTAGTGGGCGTTCAACTCTTAAGTCAGAATTGAACTTTGGGCATTCCTCTCTTATTGCAACGATATTATCAGCATATCGATGCTATCATCCCTACTATCTTAGACAAAAGAAATAACATAAATTTCATTTCTGTTGTCTATTCTACTGTGTTCTTCTACTTGCAACGTTGCCAATTCTACCAGCCGCGGCCTGGAGTTAAAGGTGGCCGTGAGAAGAGTAGAGTAGTAGAGACTAGATAGAGTTAAGTACAATTCTTACGTTAATCTCAGAGATGAACGCCCACAATTCAATTCTGACTTAAATCTCAGAATTCTAACTCCTTTCACAGAGAGGAACGCCCACTTGTTAAATTCTGACTTTAATCTCAGAGGGGAACGCCCACTAGTTAAATTCTGACTTTAATCTCAGAGGGGAACGCCCACTAGTTGAATTCTGACTTTAATCTCAGAGGGGAACGCCCACTAGTTGAATTCTGACTTTAATCTCAGAGGGGAACGCCCACTAGTTAAATTCTGACTTTAATCTCAGAGGGGAACGCCCACTAGTTAAATTCTGACTTTAATCTCAGAGGGGAACGCCCACTAGTTGAATTCTGACTTTAATCTCAGAGTGGAACGCCCACTTGTTATATTCTTACTTTAAACTCAGAATTCTGTGTTTTTTCTCAGAGATTAAGAAAAATATTTTTTTATAGTTGGTGGCTCTTCAGCGCCGTCGTAGGTTACAACTATACAGCAATTCCCATCAGCGATATTGAAAGTCAATTGTGGCTTCAATCTCTACTTCTGAGAACAGAATTAGCTAATGTTGCATTATATTTCTCGAGAATCTTCTAAATGGTGATGTCGTCAGCCCTGATCTGTTTGGTCAGATTAACTTTTCGAGTGCCGGGAGGAACTCTCTCAAGGAACCTCTTCGCCATTCAAGCCTATGCCAACAACTATGAGAACAACAGTGTGATACCTCGTCTCCTGGATTGGGAACCTCGTCACCTCACGTTGACCTTTGGATCACCTCAGTTGTGATCGCCAAAAAAGTCTATCTGAAAGAGCACCATTTTTTAGTGCATTTACTGCCTGTATTTATAGTCTTTTTATTTATTGGCTATTATTTCTTGCCTGTTATTTAGGACTATAGCCTCTTTGCCTGTTAGTTTATTTTGCAATTTTTTTCTTGTAGCCTATAGCATGCTTAATAAACATAATTTATTCGAGTAACATTTTGTATTTATTATTTCATTGCATTCAGTTAGTGTTAATTAGGCTGTCTTGTATTTTGCATTAGGATTATTGTAAAAATAGTGCAACCGTGTGAAATAAATAAAAGACAACAATATTTTAATCATAAATATTACTAGTAATTAGGGCTACCTTAGAGCTTGAAAAGATGTCCATTCACATTATTTAAACAGCAATAGGCTACCTACCTCTATCCTATGACAGAATGTACAAGCCTGGAAAATAAAGTTGAGTTATCTAAAACTAGGTCACATAAAATATCTGAACAAAAAAAGATATAAGTTATTTTCCTATTGATATTTTCCAAAAAGTTAGAATAAAGGAAAGTTTTTCATTGTTGGAAGGATTATCTAACCTGTTCCTTCTTGTTCTGTTCCTTGTATGAAATGTATCTCTCTTTAGTTTGTTCTGGTGGAAGTTCTGTGAGAATTGAATCATCTATGAGTCTGGCCACTTTTTTCTCGACCAATAAAGTTACTTCCTCTGGCAACAGGACCAATGGAAGGCCCTGTAAAGTTTCCTGCCTCGGAAGTCCAACCAAGCAGCCAGTTAGGTTACCAACAATTCTGTGGTCTTCCCGAAGTTTCAACCAATCTGGAAGAAAATAATATCATCACATAGGCCTATACTTAGGCGACAAATTTAAAAAATAATTTGAACAACTAATCTCATTCTGTTCTGGGTAATTTTGCAGTCAAATAGGTTAAATTTTTTACCATTTTAGATACCGGTACACGGATTAATTGAAAAAAATAAAATAAAGTAAAGTAAGTTGTCATAAAATAAAAAAATTTTTTAGAGGCACCTAAGTTAACTTACCGGTAACTTGTAACTTATAAAATGAAAACCGAGAATATGAGTTATAAAAATATATTTATCTAACTTAGTGGAGTTGTACATATAGGATCTGCGATAATCAGAAGGGTCGCTAGGGCCTAGTTCAATTTAAGAAAAGTCAGTCGTAGGACCCAACTATTCTTGATCATTGGGCTGTAAAATAAATGGCACTCTGAGTTAAGCCAGGTTTACACTATGTAGCAAAACCTGCTATATAACTTTTGCTATATAACATTGCTACTTATATAACTTTTGCCATAAAAACAGACAATTTTAGTGACTCTGGTGCTCGTGCTATATATGCTATATGTAGCACAACTTAATTCGTATTCCGTATTGACATGTCGCGCCGAAGAGACCTACTGGCGGTAGCTATCACGGTGATCTTAGGATTTTTAGGAAGTCAGAGGCGAAAGCGAAGGTTTTAGGTTCAACCTCTTCTTGCTTCGAGAAATAAGTACAGTGTAGCAGATTTATTACGGGATCTTAATGATGACGATCTTGCTAATGATCCATAATTAAAACGCGAAATAAGGTGATGGTAGCTTCAAAAACGTTTTAGGTATGACCTAACGCCGGTTGTCCACGGAACAGTTCAAAGTTTAAATGCTACCGATCCCACGCACTGACATTTCCCAGTCCTTCAATTGTAAACAAAGATCGCTGAGCAAAAACGTCCGCACCCAGGAAGCTACAACTGTGAACTGATGACACTAAATGCTACATATAGCAGGTGCTAGACAAAAAAATATTTGTATAACATTGCTACATATAGCAATGTTAGATGTAGCACGTATTTCTTTTGATCTTTACGGACTCCCGATGGATAGCAAAATTTTTGCTATATATAGCAGGATCTGCTAGCAGTGTTGTATAGCACTTTTGAAAAGTAACTTTTTCTACCTCTAGAAAATGTTATATAACATTGCTAGATGTTACACAAATCTGCTATATAGCAGGTTTTGCTACATAGTGTAAACCCGGCTTTAAAAATCATTTGATCTTATCCAGTAACAACAAAGCTATTATTCGGTACATTCTATAAAATTTCAGCTCAATAACTTACGTTCATGAAGGTTTTGTCACAGAAAACATACTGTTTTGTGTAAAATGAACTATCTTAGGCTAACATCCACAAGTTGAAACAGTGATTTGAGGTTAGATTAGATTAGATCAAAAACATTATAAAATTTGTATTCCAGCTAAGTAATTATAAAGTAAGTTAGTGTTTTGAAAAAGGCATCTATTAACATAGGTACTTGTTTATTATTACAAAAAAAAATCATAGCCAACATTATGTTTTAGTATTAAATAATTTATGGCACTATTAGAAACCAAGTTTAGGCCTAATTCATTACCATCGGCATTCCAAATAAATCCTGACCCATTTTGGATAATTATTTTAGTAATTTCTCTCGAATCGATTAAACTCTTGTCTTCAATTCTGATTTCTCTCTGCATATTGCACACTAAAACTTACACAAACTAAATCGACATGTAAACTGTAAACATAACAACGGCCGATTTGCTTGACAGGTAGGTGAGTCGAGTCGACACCGAACCGAACGAACCGACGACGACGACAGACACCTGCTCACTGCTCAGCTCAGTGCTCACTGCTCAGTGCTCGGCTCAGTGCTCACTGCTCACACGACACACACCAACTACCAACTTGGGCCTCGAGGCCTCGAGTAACTCCGGAACGAACTACTCCGACTCCGGAACGACAAGTCCAATTCCGGCTCTTGGAGCGTAGTTGTAGTTAGTTCCTCTCGGAACTAAAGATAGTCAATAGACCGTCATTGGTTAAGATTCAATTGTAATAAATTGTAGGTCGTTGTAGTAAATAAACATTTAAAATTTTAGAAAATCTTTTTAAAATGAATGTAGGCTATTAAGACCAGGGTTAAGACCAGTAATTGATATTACTTGTGAGAAGTGAGAGGTCAGCAGCAGAACATCTAACATCACAATTCACAAGAATACGACTGGAACGACTCAGTCAGTCACTCACTGCCCTACTGCTTCCATTCCTCACTCCACTCTCCACTAACTATCGTCCTATCCTATCCTAGCCTAGCTTAATCATTCCGCTTGTTCAATACACACACACACACTGAGCTATGTTCAATAACCAATAACATTTACTGGAATGGAACTATCACTATCAATAGGTGATGCGAAGAGGAACGACGGACTGGAACTGGTTGTTTATTTTATTAGTTAGTTATTATGAACCAAAATGGTTGGTGAGTGAGTGGAAACACTCTACACCGAAAGTCCTGTGTTCAACGCTCTTGTAAATTGTAAACGGAGTTGGAACTACTCCGCGGAACTAGTTCCGAGTTCCGACAACTCAATAACTCCGGAGTGAACGACTCCAGTGAACGATAGTTCCCATCCCTACAAAACAACCAAAAATATATCCGTTACCTTAATCCGGGATCGAATTGGGAATGTCGGTCCCGGTCGTCGACCCTTCACAGGGCTAATAGCCATAGCCCTGGACCCGTCATGGGTTCTTTTCTAATAGTCTTGCTATTGCTATCCAGTCAGTATCCAAGCATTGTTCAAACACCATGAAGCTGTAACTAACTGCCAATGTTTCATTCTCTTACAAGCTCATATATTTGTTTGCTAGTTTGCTGACATATAAAGTATCTGATGAGTAAAAAAAGAAAACTTATAATAAACTTATAATTTTATCTTATTTTAAATCTAACGATTGCCGATTGCCTTAGAAATGATTACAGTTAAGTACCTATATTAAGTTTTAGTTGGCAAGTTAACATAATTCTGCTCTGCCCAGAGAACGCTGTTAATGTCTCTGCATTACTATTCAAACCACGACCCCAAACAGACTCTAAGATGCTACAACGCTACAACTTCTAAAAGAATGTGGTATTTTCAATGGACAACGTGGCAAAAGTGTTAATACAAATCCAACAATGACTTTTAAAACTAAACTGTTTATTAGTAGTTTTGCCTTTGCTTACATTTGAAAATTTATTAATTTCAAATTTTTTTCATAAGATGCCCTTTATCAGCAAAATAAGAAATCTAAAATAATCACCCAAAGGTATATTGTCGATTTGAAGGGGACCCCCCCGGAAAACCAACCCCCAGGGCAAGGTGAACGTCACAAAATCTGCCAACTAATCGATATGGGAGCCGTGTCCACGACTGGAATACTACCCCCCCCCCCCTAGCATAATGTGATGCTATGTAATTGTAATTTTCATTCCAGTAACCCCTTTTGATAACAGAAAAGCCATATGTGGGAAACATCATACAGAAATTGAAATGTTACATCAAGTTTGGTTGGTTAGGTTAGGATAGTTTAGAACAGTATGACAATGAAACTTGAGTGTCCAAAACTGGAAAACTGCCCCCCCCCCCTCGATCACTGACATCAACATGACGACAAAAAGTATAATTTCATTGAATCAGAATGTCATTGTTAAATGTATATTCATAAGTTAAATAATAACCGAGCCATTTGTACTTTTATAACTTTTGTAGACCATCGCCAAGTTTAAAAATTCAAGCACTGTTACAGTCAATGATATAATTTATAGTGGGTGTGAGGTCATAGACATGAATTTATGAACCATGTCATCTTATCATTTGAAAAGATACAATCTGACTGAATCATTTTATTACATCCTTTGATCATCATTTTTGTGTCTATCATATACAATTTTATACTTTGGTTATATACCATACATGTGTAATAGTAAAAAAACTACTTTGAAAATCTGGATTGATTTTAGTACGTACTCATAAAAAAGTAAAGAGGATGTGAAAAAACCCTTACTTGTGGGGAATTAATTTACCTGCCTACTTTATTATGTTCTTCACAATGAAAACAAAATATACACAACATGCATAGGATAAATAATCACCACTAATTGGTTCAAAATATCAATCAATAAACTGGTTCCTGGTAAAATGTGTAAAATTTTAAAATTACTAACATGGAAACGTATAACAGACCACAGCAGAATGAATTGTCAATGTGCAAACAAGCCATGTGATATGAGGACAATATCTTATTAGTTTAAACGGAAGTAAGTCATAGGTATAGCTGAACGTTTTTAATTGCCAATATTTATTCACATGGACTTTTTAATACTTTTCCCCCTACTGCAGCAATCCTGTGGCTGTGGACTAAGTAAATTTCCATTGCCTTATTTTTTTATTTGCCTTATTTATGGATTTTCACCAAAATATTTCTTTAAACGTGTCAGATATTACTTCTCTGTTTAGTAAAATTAGGTTTAACGAATCTGTACTACTTAGCTTTCTCGTAAAAAATATAATACGTATCCATTAATCCCTTTTAAGCTAAACGGGAACTTTGTTTGTTTGGGAGGAAAACCATCAGTTTGTTTGGGACAGGCAAAGTAATAATGTTTGGTGGGACAGGAAAAGTGACCTTTAGGGCAGCTAACATCTGTTTTGAAGGATTGGAAAATGATGATTTTAGTCACAGCACATATGTGCACACAGTTAATCAGCTGCACAGAAATGAGCAATTTTTCAAATACAGGAGTGATGACAGTTTTTTTCTATCTTCATTTTCAAAAATATGTATTTAGAAAATTTGTGATTATTTTAATCAACTACAGTACCATAATATTATCAGGTTGTGAAGTTCAAAGTTGCATAATGTTTCAAAATCGTCACTGCTGAATTTGTGTTAATTATAAACTGTTAGTCAGATTATCAGTGTGTTGATAAGTTCATGGACAGGAAAATTAGATAGTCTAACATCAGTTAGTTAGTTGTGTTGTTGTGTTAGTCTGAGGTCAGACTGAAAGTTTACCTACATTACTGGGCGAAACCAAGATTTATTGGATAGGATACCTGTTTCAAATGTAAGTTTTTTTGCCAATGTGAAACATTAGATTAGTTCATGGGTAAGGTAACAAAATGGGTTAGGGTTTAACAAAATATTAAACTGTAGTCTAATATTTTACACACAAACTAGTTACACTATTATGTACTCTAAACTGGTACTTAGATACAGTACTTAGAACAAATTTACAATAGACAAAAATAATTAAAGACTCACAGACGTGCTGCGATTAGCATAGGTTCTGTCGTCCACCGCTGGGAGCGCCATGGTTTTACGGCGTACAAGCTATGTAACTACACTATAGGCCTAATTTATTTTCTCTATGCTCGTACTTAGTATTAAAATATAAAATATGGTATGAAACTGGAGTGATCAGTACAGTAGGCCCTACTGTACACTCGGCCTGCCTGTGCAAAATTGTGTTTGTTTTTTACTTTGTATGTCCATGGAAATTTAAAATTAATTTAATAGACATTTGAAGTAAGCATTTAATATCAATTAATATATTTTGTTAAATAAAAGACAGTATTTAATTTTAAATGCAGAGTTGCTTTTCCCTCTTAAATGGTTTCAGGGCCGTATTTCCCTAACGGCGGACACGGTGGTTGCCGGGGGCCTCGGTCTAGGAGGGGGCCTCAATTTTTTTAAAATTTATTTCACCGATAATCAATTTTGCCGCGATTGAGGGAGACGTTGAAATCAAAAGATCTTGTTAATTTGTTTATTTATTTGTTATCTTCACTATTTCACAGTTAACCTAGGAGTTGCCACTAATCATTCACTTGAGTGGGTATGATGTCCGAGATATTCGACGGCGAGAGCCGAAGAACATGTCCCCACAAAATCAGAAGATCTTCATGATTTCGTCATGATCTAAGGAGACAAAGAGGATGTCTCCACGCTCCCGCGAGATAACAATTTCTCCGCGGCCGTAGCAGACATTTATGTTTATCAAAAATATATATACAATATATTTCATGATATCAAAAAAATGAAAAGACTTTTGTTAGCAAGTCTCCTAGGTCTTTTTGTAGATCGGATGGTTGGAAACAAATTCATCGAGTTGAAGCAATAGGCTACCACGAGTATTACTAACTAAACCCTTTAGTTCCAACCTTCAAATTCAGAATTTAGTTGGGCCTCATCGATTCTAAATACGGCCCTGAATGTTTTGGTGTGTGTATTTTTCCTGAAAAGTGCTATAGAATGATATATTGTTGTTCGCGTTTCATCCGAAGCGACGATATATCGTGCCGGCAGGCCCCATACGATGGAGGCCCAATATATTGTTCCTTTGGCACTTTTAAGATGAAATATATTTTTTTTTTTATTGATATTTTTTCTCCCACACTAGACTTTGCCCCCGTGGCAAGCCTAGCACTTTTTGTACAAAATAAGTACACAACTCTAGCATTTTTCGGAAAATTACAAAAAAAATGTAGCATTGAAAGGGTTAAAACAATTGACTTCAATGGAAAAGTGTAATGTTCAAAGATTTATTGCGGACATTTTCCATCAGGATGGTAAAAAACAATACATAACGTTTCGGGATCTGGAATCTGATCCCGTCCTCAGGTGAAAAAAAACTTAACTTACACATTACAACTAACAATACACAAACGCCCAACCTAAGTTGGAATACACTACAAAAGGTAGTAGTAAAAAAATATGCACTGTATAGCAGTCAAGTCATGATACAAACATGCAAATAATGTGTTAGTTATGTTTTTTTTCACCGAGGACGGGACCAGATTCCAGATCCCGAAACGTTGTGTATTGTTTTTTACCATCGTGATGGAAAATGTCCGCAATGAACCTTTGAACAACATTAACTTACCATCACCAACAATGAACTTCAAACAAAGAAAAGTGTTAAAGTGAAAATCTTGTCAAAATTTAATCCAAATGTATGTTACATCTATTTTAAAGTTCAAATAAAGGTTAATGTATACTATGGGTATCTAAAACCTGTTATACCTTCATCTTTGTAACTATTTTAACTTTGTTATTTTGGAAAAGAACAGTAGCAAAACCAAATATTATTTAGAAATCTCCAGTTTTAAATATAGTAATCATTACCATTATTATTGTTACATCGAGGCAGGGATATAATGCTGGGTATTTTAACCTGAATGCAGGTGAACGATTAATACATCTATGGGCTAAGATCAGCTGTTATTTTATTACAATTCCAATGTTCAAGGACAGCTCACGGACATAGCCAAGTTTCAAATCCCCAACAATTTATTATTAATTTTTGATTGATTAACAAGTAACGTAAGTTGACAACTATAATTAGACAATGTGTTGCAAGGATTAGTGCAAACTAATCCTTGCTTTATTTGACTTAAGGTTTACTACTCTGTGATTTTACTACTCTGTGATTTTAAATTATATCAACAATCATCAATGCTACAACAATCTAGTGGTGGGCAATATTGTTACTATTGTGCAACAGGCGGCACTTGACTTTCATCTTAACCAACTTCAACTTTCAGCCACCAGCTGTTGAACCGGTTTTTTGCAAACAAGCCTGCATAAACAACATGATTAAATCAGTTAGCAAGGACAAGGCCAGGGCTTGCTCTACAGTGAATGAGGCAGTAGTGGACACAGAGACCTTAGTTTAGCTATTGTCACTCAGTATTCATTCCTATGACCAGTGTTATTCGAAGTTAAGGTAAGGTTATAAAAATAAGTATTCTACCATAGGAGCCGAACAACTATAACTGTGATAATGATACTTTCTTGTGGACTTTTACATTTCTCATTTCTCTTCCGATGGAATACATATAGAAGGCTTATTTGGTCTTCGAAAGTGAAAATTGAAAATACTAGAGGCAATTTGGTGTCAACAGTTTTGATTAATCTTCAGCAAAATTACTAAAAATATTTTTTTTACATTTAACATACTAAAAATAGTTTGACCATTCTCAATATATATTTATAATTGGATAGTTGGATACAAATTGATTTTTTACCTCATCGTCAAACAATAAAGATTGTGCAGGTAAACCTTTTAACCTGCCAGCTGTATAAGGCAAGAGGGAAAATATAGAAACTGAAACAAAAACACTATCCATTCCAAGATTAAATAGCTTGACTAGAACTGGAGTAGCAATGCCACTTTTGATTCAATCATAGCAATCTGAAGATCTTTCTTTTTCTATATTATTTTGACTATACTACTTAATTTACTTAATTTATTTATTTGTCACTTATTTGGTCACTACTTAATTAGATTATTAATTAATTAGCTATAAATTTTAAATACCTTGATAAGCAAACTGTAGCAAAATGCCTTATTTGGGGGGCAAACAAAATATAGTTCGGCCGCTTAGAAAGCGACCTCCTCCAGCATTGGTTTAGCATTAGGAAGCGCGAATGGTCGTTTTCTAAGCGGCCGAACTATAGATCTCAACTTGACTATTGAGTGACTCACAGTTTGCAGCAGATGTCAGGTATAGTTATCTGTTTGTTATCAGCTGATATAGGATTATCCTTGCCTGGAGGGCTGATTGTGGAAGTTTTATTACAGTCTCGTATTTGATACATCAGACGAACAGATGTATTAGTTGGACTCAGGGAGTTGACCAAAACCATAATATACTTTTTACTGAAGTGTTTGGTATTTTTACAGGTTATGACTAGATACAGCGTAGCGTAGACATGTTGATGTAAAAAACCAATGACTCGGAGATGCCTCTGCAACAAAAACCTAATAAAATTGCCCCGGACGGAGGATGGGGCTGGATAATCATACTGGGATCAGGTCTCATCAACGTAAGACATATTTTCACACGTGTATATTTTTTCACAACTTTACTTTAATTAGACTCATACCACCAAAATTGCTGTTGGTTTGATCTTTTGAAAAGTCATAGTAGCTTTTTGATGTATCAAAACTGGACCATGGTCATTGGTGGATTTGCAATAGATGTCTTGGCAAACAAAGTAGCTAAACTTGGTAATAAAAAAGCCAAGTAATCTTATCCATTCAACACCCATATGTTTGCCAAATTTACCTCACACCGTCATATAAATAAAATCTTAAACTAATCATCCAACTATGAGGTATCTTACTCATCCTTGTGGTATGTGGGTTAAAATAAAATATGCCTTTTTAGTTGCATTTCTATCTCAAAATTATGATATTATCTCTTTAAACAACTGGCTTCAGCATACAGGTAGGAGGATGCCTACTTCAAAATCTATAAATATAATGTTCTCTATATAATTATAGACAATGTGAAATATCAAGTACCTACAATAATAAAACATAAATTTAATATTCTTCATAGCTCTGCACCCGAGCCGTAGAGCCATCTTTTGGTTTGCTGTTTGGCGATACTCTTAAGGAACTTGGGGTAGCAACAACTGGTGCAGCCTTTATCATGAGTGCTCGCGATGCCACCAACAACTTTTCAGGTAACAAAGAGAATTTTTTGGGGTTTTTTAACCTAATATTTTTAGACATATTTAAAAAAATCTTGTACTCAATACTTATCTATTCCAATAACAAGGAAAAAAATATTTTTTTACCAAGGTTTTATTTTTAGGATTTCTTATGGGTCCACTCTTGAAGAACTACTCATACCGCAAAGTTGGTATCCTTGGAGCAATCCTGAGCAGTCTAGGTCTGATAACAGCTGCTTCAGCTACTAGCATGACTCACATTCTGCTCACATACAGCTTGGTTGGAGGTGAGTAAAAAAAACAATGATAACCAAACCTTTACTTATTCCACTATTGGAACTAATTGAAATTCTGGACGTCATAATTGTGTACTGTATACGGGACAAGAGTGTTTTCTTTCATTATGTCGAGTTAAAGCTATTTGAACAAAGCAGTGTTTTAGTTCGACCTATGAGTCCCAGGAACTATTGATTTATTTAATCATGCATGTTAGTCCTAAAAAAATGTTCATAGTATAGTAGTTTATGCAACGATTGCGTAAAGATAGTGTCGTTAAGACTATTTACCCGTACACTACTTTACAAACCGTTTTTAATTACTAACAATCACTACTCATAACTTCTATGAGAGGTTATGATTCTGTTTATAACCTCTCTTTGCCACTGACAGTGATGCAACAACTCATTGTACCAAACACTAATAATTGCACCGAGATTAACAATTCAATTAGTAAACAGCTGATTAGTTGATGTTCGAAGCATTACAATTTTACTTCTTTTTTCTCAATCCTTGAACCTCATTGGTCTGTTAGCTATTTGATTCTAAAAATTCTAAAGAAAATTTCCATTGTGACATTGAAAACTTCAATATCATCAATACTAAGAAATCATTTATACTGATCAAGATCAAAATTATTGTGTTGTTTTAATTAGAACATTTTTTCAGTTTTGACAAAATTGTGTCTTGTTGAATCCTCTGTGTTCAGCAGCTTGCTTGTGGAAGAAGGATGTAATTTATTTAATAAATTATCCTTATATGTAAAACACTGTTGTTAAGTGAATCTTTTCAATTCTAAGACTGAGCCAAAACAGATAGTTTAAAAAAGGTCCTAGCCAATATTATTATTCACCCTACACTCGGGCCTAGCCACCTAGCTCTACCACAGATAGGTGAACCCCCCATGAGTTGCGCACCAGACCTGACCAATACGGGATTCAAACCCTCAATCATTTGACTCCCAGGTTGTTATGGTATATCAGCAGTTTTCTTAGAGGTCTGTAAACAATATATACAGAGGGTGTTCATTTGAAAACTTTCCATATCTGTAGTGTGCAAAGGTAAGGCTTTTTACACTTGTTTGTTCTCATTTCCCCCTAATTTGGACATGCCAAATCCAATAAAATTATTTTCAATTTCGAAAAATGCCCCAAAAGGGCCCAATTTGGGGGTAGGGGTGCTTTTTGAGAAATTTTCAAATGTAAACATGGGTTGTGTGATACATCAATTTAAAGGTCTAATCATCCCGACTATTTTGGTGCAATAAAATTGTAATTATCTTTAACCATATTTACAGGGTGGGTCAAAACGTTTTAAAAAAGGACTTTGAGGTTATGTACCGTATTACCCGAACTACTGAACGTAACAGCGCCAAATTTATTTCCAAGCTTATTCTTGATCTACTCTTTAAGATAACTTGTAATAAGGGCATTTTCCATGTTATTTTCTAATTTTAAAAAAATCTCAAATTTTAAGAATAAAAGAAAGGTGAAAACTCAAAATTCTTAAATAGCAAGGTATAACAAAGTTCATACCACGTGAAAGGTCCTTTTTTAACAAACATTTTACGTATTTAAGTTTTCTTTCTATCTCTTACCGTTTAAAAATTGCAGTAGAAAAACTGAATTTTCTATGGTAAAATTAAAGCTAGTTTTCTAACAAAACACATTGCACTTTGCTCAACGATGTATTATGATTAATTACAAATTGATCAACTACTTTTACTTGTGTCAGTTCATCTTGGACCCTTCATCCTGTTCTTTTCTCATTGGTAACTGAGCCAGTTTCAGAAATTTCTTAACTAAATCATTTACAGCTTTATGACTTAAGGTCTTACCTGGATATTTATTGTTAAACACTTTGCAGTTATCCTGAAACACTTTTGTTCTGCCCAATAAGTAAAAAAAGTCTATTTTTTTAAGTGTACACCATATTCGATTAGATACTACAGAAAATAGTACTTTTTGAAATTAGTACTACCATTGACTAGTCAATGGTACTACAGAAAGCGGCCCACATGTAGGTTGTCCTCATCAGCTATAAGACTTGTTTTTCACAAATTAAAACGTAATGACTTGTTTGTCAATCAGGGTATCAATAATTATGAATTGTTTCCTTCAGTAAATGTACCATTAAATGTGTCTAGGGACGAATTTTGGCTGTTTTATTAGAAAACTAGTTACAATATTACTATGGAAAATTCAGTTTTTCTACTGCAATTTTTAAACGGTAAGAGATAGAAAGAAAACTTAAATACGTAAAATGTTTGTTAAAAAAGGACCTTTCACGTGGTATGAAATTTGTTATACCTTGCTATTTAAGAATTTTGAGTTTTCACCTTTCTTTTATTCTTAAAATTTGAGATTTTTTAAAAATTAGAAGATAACATGGAAAATTCCCTTATTACAAGTTATCTTAAAGAGTAGATCAAGAATAAGCTTGGAAAGAAATTTGGCGCTGTTCCGTTCAGTAGTTCGGGTAATACGGTACTTAACTTCAAAGTCCTTTTTTAAAACGGTTTGACCCACCCTGTAAATATGGTTAAAGATAATTACATTTTTATTGCACCAAAATAGTCGGGGTGATTATACCTTTAAATTGATGTATCACACAACCCATGTTTACATTTGAAAATTTCTCAAAAAGCACCCCTACCCCCCAAATTGGGCCCTTTTGGGGCATTTTTCGAAATTGAAAATAATTTTATTGGATTTGGCATGTCCAAATTAGGGGGAAATGAGAACAAACAAGTGTAAAAAGCCTCACCTTTGCACACAACAGATATGGAAAGTTTTCAAATGAACACCCTGTATATGTTTGTCATGTACGGCTGATATATAAGCTTTTGGATTAAAAATATTGCAAAATATCTTAACTCAGGATCAAAAATCCATCATAAACAATTAACAGGTGTGTTCACCAGGCGTTGGTTTCGGACTGTCTTCCACTGCGGTCTTTGTTGCCTTGAACAGCTACTTTGTGAAGCGGCGAGGCCAAGCGTTTGGTCTAGCGATGGCGGGGACCGGGCTCGGCTTCATGCTGATACCTCAGGTGGTGAGCAGACTGCTGAACGAGTATGGGTTTCATGGCACCATGATGATCATGGGAGCGCTGGGACTCAACGCCGTGGTTGGCTCATGTCTGCTGCAACCGGTCAAGTGGCATTTGAAAACTGTCATTGTAGAAGAAGAGGAGGAGCTTGTACATGAACGGAAACAGGTACTATGGTATCTTGCGATAGCTATGACCCTAAAACCAGGCACAAACTGTGTCATACCATTTTGTCTTTACCCTTAATGTGTCATTTCATTTCATGTACTCCTCTTTACAATTGGAGTATAAGGCCCCTATTACACGAGGTAGCCTGGCGACGTCGCCAGCGACCAAACTGGCTACTCTGCTTGTCATGGGGCATTGATTCTTATGGATGTTATTACACGAGGGTAGCCAGCGACGCAGCCACACTTTGGCGACCGACTGGCTACCGAGCCCCGTCGCCACTGTGGTAGCCACTGGCTACCCATATTGACGACGCTGCGTTGTAGCATATGGAGCTTATTACACTAGGTCGCCAGTATCACGTCGCCACTCGGTTAGTTCATATCACGGGGGTACTTGCACACTGTTGTGTTGCGTTCTGTTGTGTTGTGAGTGTGTGAATTGTTCACTTCAGTTGATAAAATGTCTATATCATCCTTTATGACTCGAAGAAACTGGATTGTGACATACGAAAATAATTGAAACATTTTTTATTGTCCGCACAGAGCTCATCAAAAAGGGTGTAATATAACCCTTTTGATTCTCTTGCACTAAGCATTGGATGAACGTACATTTTTCTCTTCCTTTGCCTCCTTTTCTTCAGAAGTCACAGAAGGAGAAGATACTTATAATCACTCATTATTCACTGTAAACACCGCTCATAACAAGTACAAGTGCAAGACAAGCACTCACAACAACGGCGCCACGGCGGTAAAATTCTGGCTACTCAACTGGCTACTCAACTGGTAATAGGTTTGGTGGCCAGTGCGTCGCCAGCTACTGCCGCTGGCGACGTCGCCAGGCTACCTCGTGTAATAGGGGCCTAAGGGAAATTGTAGGCTTCCATACTCAAAGGTGACTCATTTTGGTCATTAGGAGATGAATGCGTTATTGAACTCTGACAACAATACTAGCAGACATTTCTAACATACTGCAACAATATATCTTCAGGGCAATTCAACTCAATTATAGCATCCTTGAAAATGGAGTGTTTTTATCAGTTTTATGATAAAGTAAATTTCTCAAGGACCAAGATATAATGAGGATAAGATTATCTGTCACAAATGATTTTAAATTTCTTACTCATAGATAAAGCATGAAGATTATTAGGCCTAATTATTCTGACACTAAGATTAGCTAAAATTTAAAAAAATTGTTGCCAATATTAAATTGGTTAGATAATGTTTTTGAATTCGAATTCCCAAATATAACCAGCAGTTGCAGTCCTAGGAACTTGTCAAGGGGAGGGGGACTGTACCAGGGAGTGTTCTACAAGCCCCAAAAAGAAGGAGATGCAGGGGTCCTCTCCGCAAAATTTGGTATTTCTAAAGCAGTATAAGTATCTAAAGCCATGTTTTAGGTCAAGAACTGTGTCCAAAAACAACCGTTAGAGTTTTTGGGTGAAATGTATGTTTACATTTATTTTTCCAGAGTCCAATGGGGGCTTTAGTGCCTGAAGTCCCCCCCCCCCTTGAAACTGCTACCGTAACCAGAGATAAAAAGTTCTAATTCAATGATATTTTTCAGGGAGAAATCAAAGCAAACCACCTTCACAAATCCCATTCAAGTATCAATGACGATGCGGAGGCATCTCTCAGGCTAAGCATTGAAAATGAGATAAACAAAGAGACAACCAATAAAAGCAAATCATCTAATGATGGGTGCTGGCAGAAGTTGGTCAGCATTATGGACCTGGATTTGCTCTTGGATCTCTCATTTCTGAACACTCTGTTCGGCCTTTCCATGGCGTATCTGGCGGAGATAAACTTCAAACTTGTGATTCCGTTCTTCATGGCCAATCTTGGCTACACTAAGGCTGACACGGCTCAGGCCCTGAGTCTGATGGCGGTCTCGGATATCTCTGCTCGTCTTCTCATCCCTCCGATCTTCGACAAGCTTCCATTCACTCGTAGGAGCACTCTGGCCGTTGGATTGGTTTTTGTGATGATCGCACGATCAGGTAAATCTCAGATTCATCCACATTCAGCTTAAGTCTTGTGTACACAAAATATGATTGACAAAATAAATCAAGCATCATGCTTGCTGGACATGTACCAGTACATAGATGGTTAATAATTTGCACATTTATTTTATTAGCTTATCAAACATGATATAACTTTATCAAAAATTATATAAATGCACTTTTAAATCTATTTTTTTATATCCAACAATGAGAGCCAAATTCACATACCAAAATCTACATTTAAATTCTTTCTCTTTGATGTGATTTATTTTTGGTAACGAGTTCATTATTCCACAATGTAAAAAAGTACCTAAACCTTCTTATCCCTGATGAATTTACCTTTAACTTGTCCAATTAAAAACAATGTACATTAGAAAACAACCAAGATTTCAGATTCAAATAGTTTTGTTTTGAATGATAAAAAAATATATTGGTTTGGAACTCAGAAATAAAATTGGATATTAGTTTTGCAAAAAGCTAGGTGATTTCTTCATGCTGGTTATATCATCGAAGGTAACTTAAAACTAACTTAACTCTCTAGGAGGTATACCTAACTTAAATTTGTTTCTCAGTTCTAGCAGAGCAGACTTCATGGAGGAACTTAATCATAACTATTTTGATTCACGGATTCTTTCGTGGATTCGCTTTGATCAATTTCCCACTGGTCATATCTGAATCTGTGGTTAGAGAAAAGTTAGCCTCAGCCTATGGTCTATTTATGGTCTCCAAGGGAATATTTGTGGTCTTCCTGGGACCTTTAGCTGGTAAGATAATAATTACTAACTAAATAAATATACATTATCCTTATATATAATACGTGAAGGCGATTTCTACAAAACACTACTCCTCCGTTAATAATTGACGGATTTTTACAAACGAGGTGTCAAAATTAAGTATTTTTTGTGTAGACGCCCCCTTTCACAACTTCCTGTTATAAAAGTCTTTGGGCTTTGCTCCACAGGCCATCAAAATCCCAATGTATTTCTTATGAAGAAAAGATTTTGTTTACTTAAACAGATGAATAATTTGTATTAATTACAACTACTCATAGTAAACTCATGATACACAAGAGTGTTCGTTTTCAGGGTGAGTTCTTTTCCAGTTTCGATAACTGGAGTGGAGTGATTGATTACATTATCTTTGAGTTGACTCTTTCAAGTCAACAGAAATTGTGACTGTTATTCCAAAAAAAACAAAAAAAACGCCTTTAATATTTTGCAATTGCTCGAATTCGAGCAACAGGTGCACTAGTATTGTAAAATATTTGAAAAACCTAGTATATTTCATCATTAGGGCCTAAAGTGACTCTATTCGACCCGAGCACAAGTTTTACGATCAAGGCGAAGCCGAGGTTGGAAAATGAGCGAGGTATCAGCTCGGGTGGTGCAGCTCTGGTATCAGTTTTGTGAAACTATTTCACCAATTGAGGGAAAGTGACAAACAATCCCTGAAATAATTATTTTGTTCTGTCAGATAAGTCAGTACCTAACAAAAATATTACATAACCAATTAAGTTAAAAAACCTGTACATTTGTTGCAAAATCACTTACAATTTACTGTGTTTTCTAGGTTGGATTAGAGACTTTACAGGCAGTTTCTCCATATGTCTTCACGCTCAGTCAGTTATGCTCTTGATTTGTATAGTTTCTTGGAGTGTCGAGTATTTGTTGAGCTCAAAAACAAAACTGAAAAAAGCCCAATCTACAGAGCCTTCTTGATAGCTTCATAACTCTAGGAATGTTGAACAGATTGTAACATGCGGGCCAACCTGCTGTAATAAAAACTCACGTTCCTGTCTAACAGTTAAGACATCAAGAATATGTTTTCATAAATATTTTTGTGTAAATGTAGTCTTAAGTTTACAATTTATGACTGTGATATTTAAATGATAATAACATAAAAATATTGTGTAGATTGGAAATTAAGAATATTTTTAATGCAGCTATACAATCTTGATTACATCAAAAGCATTTATTTCACAAACATACATCTATTAGTGCAGTACTTTTATTTTAAAGGTATAAATATACTTACTTCTGTAAGTAATAATACATTTAAAACCAAAAAGGCAAAACTGAATGTGACGACATTAAATGAGCTAATTAAGTATTACGATGATTTAAAAAAAAAATAGGATTTAAGTTTTAGTTACACTTTTATTTTAAACTAAAAGTGAATTTAAAAGTAGATGGCCGTCCAATCCAATCCCAAATGGTAATCTTGAGTGAAACCGTTGACTTGGTCAAAAGTGAAACTAATTAACAATGACTAGGTAGTATCAAGCAGATGGTAATTACATAAACATTATAATAATGCTGATAATTTTTATTTTAAAATCAGGAGCTTATGTGAGTTATTTAATGTGATTTGTAAATTCTACTTTCTACTTAAATTATCAATTAACTTAGAAATACAGAAAAATATAACATAACTAAAATATTTTAAGACCGAATATCTTCCCTATCCAACTATGTTTGTAAGAGACTTGTCTGTAAATTTAAGTCTCCTTCGAGTGTTTATCGCAGCCAAGTTAGCTAGTTCAAATCTAAGACCAACACATTGTTCCTTACATCTTCATCCCTTCTATTCCAACTGGCTCTTACCCCTATGAGAGGATCAAGATGGCAAAGACCTATGGCACTATACTCTTTGGAATTTTTACTTTCTCCCCCTATACCATAGTATATGGAGAAAGTATTGTTTTCATACAAATTTTTGAGTCTGAGTTTTGAGTGGATATATATCCGTTTTCGGTCCCCCTGAACCTAACAAATTGTATCTCAAGGCGGTTTTTACATTTTTTTGAAGTTTTGATTTTTAATGGTCATTTTCCCATACATCCCACACAATCCGGAAAAATCAAACTTTCTTAAAAATTACCAGAACGATTTTGATAAAAATATAGTGTATTATAGCCCTTTAAATTCTGAAAAAAGATTCTATAACTCCCATTGCTGTATAAATTGCGGGGCCAAAGTTATTGTAACTTGTGTTATCTTCCTATGAAAATTTCATAAATTAACAGAAAATTGAATTTTTGAAAAAAGCCTGTTTTTATTAAATTATTATGTGATGGCCCTTATAATTCCAAACAAAATAATGCGAGCCCTCATTGCTGTAAAAATTATGCTTCAAAAGTTATTGCAACTTTTGTGATGTTCCCTATAAAATATATCATAGTTACTTATACTGTTACCCATGATGAAGGTTGTTGGCAAGCTAATGGGAGACCATTTATTTTTCCAAGTTCTGACAAATTTATTTAATGTGAGGTGTGAGGGCTTTAGTCAAGTATCATTTAAAACGTGCAAAGTGACAGAAGACTGACACTCAGACCGCGATCAATGTGCAAAATTTCCCTAAACTTAGCCTTTATGCATGAGATAAACTGTGGAAAGCATTGACAATGACAACGTTGCAAATTTTGCCGATCACCTCCAAACTCCTTCCGCACCTTACTAACATTTTAATGTACAAAAACTTTCCTTAATTCATGTCTACAACCATGAACTTCAATGGTGGTTGATGCCTTTACAACACAGAAATCATCACTAAATGCAATGTTTACTTGGCGAGAGCGTAAATCTTCCTTCACGTTTTTGGCTACTGTGTGGAGACTAATCGTCACATTGGGATGAGAAACTGATAGATGGTAGTGGATGAAGAAGGGAGCAAGACGCTGGTGTCAGATTTGAACCAGCTTATTTTGAATGCTAAGGGACATGTTGGATGCCAAGGAGACATTAATTCATGAACAACCACCACGTAATGTAATGTAATGTATTGTTAATGTAATTGTTTAAAGATAAAGTACAAACAATAAAAATTTTGATTTTGACGAGTTGATGTATTTTATCATTGAATTGAGAAACTGAAGTAGACATCCCATCTACATGGACCAGCTGTAAACATTTTTTTGCTCAAAGAGGACTATTAGTTTATGTGCTACCAGTTAGGTTTACTTGCTACAGTATGATAGTTTTTGGGGACATAAATGTGGCTACAGTTGAAAAATATACAGATGAACTTCATTAGTGGAGTAACTAATGAAAAGGGGATCTTTAGCTTTCCATGTCTAAAAGTTAGTGTGTAAGAAAGAAAACATTAGGTTTACCAAAGACAAATAAAACTAAATATAGATTGACAGCAGTGCTGAGGTTAGCATAAGTTCTGGCGTCCACCACTGGGACCGCTGTGCTATGCAACGTAATTACACGGAACTCCAAGCGGTGGTCGCCAGAACTTATGCTAACCGCAGCACTACTGTCAGTCTATATTTAATTATATTTGTCTATGGCAGTGCACTCTTGGTAGTGGCTAAATTAAACTAAGTTACTTTTATTTTAAATGGTTACAACTTTAACATGAGAATGGATTGTCTACTTCACAAAAGTGTCCATAGTCGAGAGGTTTTATACACATAAAATATGTATAAAGTACAAAAGTATTAAATTGTTGTGTAAAAAAAAAATAATGTAAGGCTTACGTAAGCCACAGCTTGACAAAATATGTCAATTTAGGACATGTTTTGGTGTTAAAACACAATCGTCAGCTTCAGGTAGGTTTTGTAGAGTTGATCAGTTGTATTGCCAAAAGCAAAAGGTAAACAATGTAGGGCACAAACAAAATTATGATAAAATTTCAAAAAATAAACATTTTTAAACAGGTCTGTTCTTTCAACAAAAGTTAACCTACCACAGGGTTAGCAAGGGACAGACTGCTCTTGTTCAAATATTATTTTATCGTAATTTTGTTTTTGCCATACAGTGATCAAATCTACCAAGTACTTGAAGCTGACAATGGTGTTTTAACAGCAAAACATGTCCTAAGTTAACAAATTTTGTTGAGCTGTGAAGGGATTGGGTTGGTAATTTAGTCTTGTGTCCAACAGCTCAAGGGCTACAAACATGGATTTTCAATAAATTAATTTGATCACTACTGACTCAATTTATTGCTTACAATCTTATAAAGATGAACTTGAATATTATAGAAATATTAAACAAATAAAACAACTTAGAGTACCTATTAAAACTATCTAAACTATATAGTCGATTATATAAGCATGCCAATGGCAGGAACACACATTTTCACTCATCTAAAATATAATTGTAATTAATGTGATTGCATGGTTTATTTCAAATGAAAATATCATCAAATTTGGCTTTACATTGACCCATTATAGCGAATTTCCCATATAGAGAATAAGCTATTATACCGAAGTACAAATGGTAAGACCTGGACCCTGGACCGATTTTATTTTTTGTTTTGAGGTCTCTAGAGGCCAAAAACACTACGGTATCCGTAAAAATTTATAAGTGTGTTCCAGTTTAGGAGTGTGTCTGTTAGCATGATAACTCGAGCGAAAATTATCCGATTTAGATGAAATTTTGTATAAACGTGTAAACCTATATTTATTCGAAGGAGTTTGCAAACCAGCATGATCGAATAATGGGAAAAGGGTTTACGGTGGGTTTTATGGGGTAAAAATTTGTTTTTCCTATTTTTGACCCCAAAATATAGAATTTAGCAATTTCTTTCCAAACAATTTTGGTAGATTCTGGTAGATCTTAAAAAAGGAAAAAATTGTATATTGAAGCATTATAATTTGCCTAATAGTAACGGAGAAAATTCCAAAAAGTTGTAAATTTAAAATTCTGATTTTATTCTTAAATAGAGAATAAGTAAACTGTTGTAGTTTGCTTTTTATAAACATAATTTAATCAAATTTGGAAAATGCATTTATTTCTCACTAAACTATTAACATTTTACAAAAATAACCACTATTTTACCCTCCCTGTTGCAGCAAACCTAAGTACTCGTTAAACTAATTTCTATTTAAATAGGGAATAGAATAAATGTGATAATTTTTAAGGAGACATGTAAATTCAATCAGGCAAGTTGAAATTCGCTTAGTATGCAGCTTTGCTGCGTAGAGGTATTGTTAATATTAGGGTGCAACATTCCAAATTCTGTATATCATGTGCAGCTAGAGAAACAAGTCTGAACATGTTTATAATGTAAGCTGAGATAATAAAGATGTCTAAACATGAGCTTGTTAAAAATGACAGACATACTCTTGTTAAAGAGACAGCCAAATCTCATTATAAATCTCAAGACATTTACTCTTTATCCTTTTCATATCAACTTGATCTTGACATATTTTGAAATAGTGTCAAGAATAAGGGTACCTCAATGTTTTTCAATTTACTTTCAAAAAAGTATTATCTATGATAATACAATCTAATGTATTATTATGTATATTATTAGTTATTAATAAACTGTCCAGTGTCCATCTGCTATTTGGTAAAATCAAAGGAATTGTTTCATTATAAAAAAGGTTTCTACTTTATTCCCGACCCTCTCTATCTCTACCCACCTATATAGGTAAAAACTTTTCAAACAAAAATTGCCATTATAGGATGAAAAACAATAAAACATCCTTGCAGGTCGATTATGAAAATTTTTTTGTTTTGAAAGTAAAATGATAGTGTTTTGTACCGGTATTAAAAAAATTGTTGGTAGAAAACTAATAAAAAATCTAAAGTCGAGCCTTCTAAAGTGGGATTTGCGTGGTGGATCTGCTCCTGGTATAGATGGAATTTCGGCGATTTTATTACAAAATAATATTCCGGCACTGATACCTCCACTCAAACACCTAGTTAATCTAAGCATTCTCTGCATGCCTTCTAGTGGTGCATTAGGGATTTGCGTGGTGGATCTGCTCCTGGTATAGATGGAATTTCTGCGATTTTATTACAAAATAATATTCCGGCACTGATACCTCCACTCAAACACCTAGTTAATCTAAGCATTCTCTCAGGACAATTTCCTGACCGTTTTAAGATAGCGAAAGTAGTTCCTTTGTATAAATCTGGCACAAAGCAAGAGTTAAACAATTATCGCCCAATATCCCTGTTGAATGTTATGTCTAAGATTTTAGAAAAATGTGTCAAAATACAATTGCACTGTTATTTGGAAGATAATAATTTGTTATCAGAATGCCAGTATGGTTTTAGGAAGAGTAAAAATACTAGTGATGCTCTCTTCGCTATGAATAAATATATTTCGGAGTGTATTAACGGAAATGAAAAAGCATTGACTGTGTTCATTGACCTTGCAAAGGCATTTGATTCCATTGATAGAAATATTCTTTTAAATAAAATGGAATGCATCGGAATTCGTGGTTTGGCCCTAAAATGGTTTAGTAGTTATTTGAATAAACGAAGCCAGTTAGTTTCTATTAACAACAATTTTAGCGATATACGTGAAATAGACTATGGAGTTGTCCAGGGCAGTACGCTGGGACCATCCCTTTTTTTGATTTACATAAATAATTTAGACAAACTTCCAATCACAGGAAAGCTCTTTTTATTTGCCGACGACACTGCAGTTATATTCAAAGGTAATACTTGGGACCAAACATTCAATGTAGCACAAACAGATATGTTCCTTATTCAAAAATGGTTCTCCCAAAATGTATTATCAATGAATGTTTTAAAAACAAAATATATGCCAATTTTCCTCAGACAAAGTAGTGAGCCTCCCACCAACCTCAGACTTGTGATGCATGTTTGTGGAGATCCAGGTGTCTCTACCTGTGGTTGTTTACATTTAGAGAGAGTAGATCTTTACAAGTACTTGGGAGTGATATTGGATAGTAGGTTAAGATGGGAACCCCATATTGAATATTTAAAGACAAAACTTAGGAAATTAATTTATGTTTTTAGAAACGTTCGCGAAATTCTTAACATTAATGAAATAAAATAGTTATACTATGCATTTGTCCAATCAGTACTTCAATATGGAATTATAGTATCGGGAGGAGCTAGTAGCAATATTTTAAAGCCTCTGTTTGTCATACAAAAACTAATTATTAAAATAGCTTTTCAATTCAACAGGCGTTTCCCTACAAATGTATTATTCAAAAACACTCAATTACTTTCGGTGCGTCAACTTTTTATCAAAACTTTACTTGTATATACCTACTCTAATCAAGATTTGATAGTGACGCCAATCACACATAACTATTCCACCAGAGGAGCTGTAAATGTAGGTATGCAGGTACCCCGAGTTTTCAAGTCTGCAAACCTTACTTAATGCTTTTTATATTGCGAATTTTTTGTATAGGAATATACCATCAGAGATTAGAGATCTACAGGTATCTCTTCCAGTTTATAAACGTTCGGTAAGCAGTTGGCTGTCGGATATTGGGCTCGATCAGTCTGAGACACTTATCGGTTCAGTATACATGACCTAAAATAATTATACACAAGTACACCAAACAATATTTAGCGTACATATATCAGTAACTGCAACTCCATTCACTCGACTACCTTTTACTTAGTATTAACTGTTCCTGTAGCTGTCTCATAGCTTAGTTGTAAATAGTATTTTGATTAATTTAGTTTTAATTTTTAAGAATATTTCTAATTTGTAATAGAGCTCGTCCCGCGCACAGGTCTTTTACGGCCTATGCGGGACTATTGTTCGTATTTTGTATATGTATATATTGTAAAAATTTTTGGAAATAAAGCAGATTTGATTTGATTTGATTTGATTCTATTTCTACACATAGAAGGCTCAAATTTTAAATTTTCAACTCGTGTCTTAAAGGCTAACATGTTTTCTGTGGTTGCGTACACTACTTTACCTACAATCGTTTTTAATTACGTACTAACAATTACTACTCTCAAAGCATTACAATTTTACTTCTTTTCTCTCAATCCTTGAACCTCATTGGTCCAAACCGGTACTGTTGAGTAACAAAACAATGCTGTTATAGTAGTTTACACAACGATCACGTAAAGATAGTGTTAAAGACTCGTACCTTAAATTTCTACTCGTGTCGTTAACATGATTTACTTGAGTTGCATACTACACTACTTTACCTATGACAATTTTTTAGTTACTAACAATCACTACTCATACTCATAACTTATAATAGAGGATATGTTTTTGTGTATAACCTCTCAGTGCCACAGACAGTGATACAAATCATTGTACCAAACATTAATTGTCCCACTCATTAACAATTAAATTGTTCTTAACAGCTGATTAGTTGAAGTTCAAAGTTCAAAGCATTACTATTTTACTTCTTTATCTCAATCCTTGAACCTCATTGGTCCGTTACTCCTGTTGGTTTGGAAGTTAAGTTGTTAAGTAAACATTGTTGTAAAGTGAATCTTTTCAATTCAAAAACTGAATTAAAAAAGCTAGTTTAAAAACCGGTTTTAGGTAAAAATAGTTATATGTTAGAACTGTGTATGTGAGAATATTTAAACAAGTGAAAAGGAAGTGAAAACGTCAAAATTACAAATAAACATGATCAATAACCCACAATCATAATTAATAAAAAAGTTCAGGGTAGGACAATGCACCCTGTTAGTTTGCAAGTTCACCACGATGCTCGGCGCAGCGCTGCTATCTTCTATCAGCTGATTCATTCATAACAGATGTTTCATTGTTGTGTTGAGGCAGTCGCCAGTGCTAGTGCTGTGCCCTAGGTCAGTCAGCTGTGCCAGTTTTCGCGCCAAACCGGTAAGTAATTCATTATCATGTTCATTTAGGTTAAGTGGTTCAGTATATTAAATCTGATCATGTTCATATAAAAATATTGAATTGGTATATTTCCCATAGAATATGAACTACATACATATATGTGAATATTTTGTACTACCCTTTTTACACATACACACTTTTAAACCAACGTTTAATACTTAACAAAACTAATTATTTTTTTGTAAATAAACACTATTATGTCAAATACATAGTTCCAAGCACTTTTATTTCCAATATATTGTACATTCTAGTACTTCTGTATGTTATAGGCTGCATTAGTTTATAGTCTCTTTGCGCAATTGTATTAATAAAGATCGAAGATCCTTTACTTTGGTACTACTCTATGTTTAAATAAGATCAAAATAGATTAGGGGGGCCTATATACAAATTTGTTGGAAAATTAGGCATTTTTTAACTCAGAAAAACATAATTGAGTTTCAACTTTGTCCACAAGCTATCCGTGGCTTGTTTTCAACTAAAGAATTCAAATAAAATCATCGGAAGCAGCTTAACTAACTTTGACATGAAAAAAAACATGAACTTTTACGTCATTTTTTAAAAATCTAAAACCCTCTGAGACAATGAAAATCCCGTGTGCTAAACAAATTCAACTTATAGTTAATTACGATAACTTATACATACAAATGAATTTCTACGCAAATAATTTTTTTAGTTTGCAATCACCTTAATTTATTGCATCATATAATTTGTTCTGGCAGCCCCAAATCATATACGTTTGTTGTTAATTAATTATTGTTTGACTTTTGACACATGAAGACTTTCCATCCTATTGTCAAATCTGAATTTAGTTGCTCATGTTCAATGTTTAGTTAGGTTTTAATCAATATGTTAGGTAGTGAGCTAACAAAGATAAAAAGGTAAATACCGAGTCAGCTAAAAAAAGATTAAAGGGCAGTTTCTAATTTTAAATCATAACTTGAATACCGGCAGTCATAATTATAAATTTATTTGGTAACCTATTCCAAGGTCTATTCGTCGGCACGAAGTCAGATAGTGCAATTTATCATTTGTATTACAAAACTCTTACCACACTTACTGTAGTTGATTTTCATCTGTGCGGGAACGCATTTTAAACATGTTCTTTAATTATTGATGAAGCAATTTTGAAAGTAATATATAACTTTATTAAAGCCGGAATAAAACTTAGCTTTTTAACTTAGGCCAAACAGCTAATTGTACAACATTTGTCGTACCTACTCTATTTTGTATTTTATTATTTGTTCAATAAAATACTCGCAAATAAAAGTGTAACATTATGGCAAATGTTGGTGGGAAGTTAGTTTTCCTTAGGTTACTACAGCAAATATAGGAAATTGATAACAGTTTACAGTACTATCATGTAAACAGAAAGGTTGACCTTGAGCTTGAACCTTAAAACTTTGAAGGTAAGAACTTGATAATTTACTGTCGACTTCAAACGCTGTACGTTTAAAATATGTAATACAATTATTTATCTACGACCGTTATTTTTTAAATTAGCCGTTTCAGTTCAGTTCTTAAAATTGAAAAGTTTCTCATAACAGCATTGTTTACTTCCACAACAGCATAGTTTTATAAAAGGAGAAGACAACTTTGTCTACTCCTTTTATCTATGGTTTTACTAATAACAAAACGGGTAACGGACCATTGAGATTCAAGGATTGAGAGAGAAAAAGTAAAATTGTAATGATTCGAACTTCAACTAATCGGCTGATCAGGCCAATTTAATTGTTGAGTGGTGCAATTAATGTTTGGTACAATTGAGATTTGACGACGTGATGAGACATTTTTAAATAAACAGAATGCCATATAATTTCTGTTCTTGATTTTAATTAAGTATTGAAGTCACTGTGGACCATTCATGGTAAAATAAAACACAATCTCACGAAATTAATTAGTTTACATCCCAATCCAAGGGATTTTATTTTCTAAAACAAGGAGTTCGAGAAATAAGGTAACGTCTAGTATTTCTTAGAAGCACATACCTTGACACAACATTGCAGCATTGAAATTTACACACCGGCTTTGAGTGGTGACACCGGAGTTATTTTAATTAATGTCAAATGTTTCCTTTAATGCTCTAGCCAATTCAGAGAGCACAGAATGGAAAGTGCTCTCTGGGCTCTATTCTGTGCTTTCTGGGCTCTATTCTGTGCTTTCTGGGCTCTATTCTGTGCTTTCTGGGACAATTTTACTGGGTACGAGCTCTTAACATCGATTGTAATAACTGTCTCAGTAATCTATATAATTAATACGTCAACACGAAATTGGTTCTTTGAACCCCTCCGCCATTCTTAACCGTTTTTGGCAATTCACGTCTCATTGGCAAGAGCGTGTCGCGTATATTTGCAAACTGACCTTACATTTTTAGCTTTTAAAGTTACCATGTTATCCTTATGAAGAACATATTTGTTTACATTATGATCAGCTGGATAATTTAATTGCTGTTAATATTTAAGTTGCAATTCAAGGAAACGCGCGCTACAAACATTAAATTTTATTGACTTGGTTGAAATTAAATATTTACTATTTGGGTTTGTGTACATTTAGAATGGAAAAAGTGAGAAAATCTGGAAAGGTTGATATATTTCACCAAATAAGAAACATGAATTGACACAGTACTGTATTTTTTTTTAATTCTCTTTGAGTTTACTACTTTAAAATAGTCGGAAAATATGACTTTCATTAGTTTTTAAACTCATGCAATACTTTGCAATTACTTGAATTCGAGCAACGTGTACTCTAGTTATTAATATTTCAACAATCAATATGTTTCTCTTTAACTAATTATTTTGTTCCCAAATACTATAGGGGTTATATTAAATACGCATTTTGTTCAAACTTGGATGATTTCACTCCTAGACTCTCTTTGAGTAGACAGAATCTGAATGTTAGAGTTGCCTCTTTGATTCTATTGAGAGAATTGTTTGTTTGCACTTGACTTGATCCCTACCAGACTCTCTGCTGAGGCTTCCCTGTTGGTTTATCGTGGTGATCTTTTATATGTAGCTTATTGTCGAATGTAAATGTTTTAAAAGTATAAATGTAAGCAATTAAGTTTTTCAGAGCACTGTACAGAAATAAACATTAAACAAAAATTGGCCGATCATAATACTGATACTTATTCAATGTGTGTAGCTTAAACTATTTTTTTCACAACGAGATGTTACTACCGAAGTGTGAGATTAGTCTATTTTCATGGATAAATAGTTATAATATCACCACCTAGCGCAGTAGAAAACGTAATTTATTCATTCAATGAAATCGACACAATATTAATTATATTGTTTTGAAGTGTCCGAACGAAAGTGTAAAATTTAAAATATTTGATCACATCCAAACGAAAAACATCTAAATTTTTCTTGATATTTCCATTAACAATACTTTTCTTCCCAAAGCACTGTTTGAGAGCTTGGATAGCCCCCGGTAAAGCAACAAGTCAAACTGCAAGTCTATTACAGTAGCACATAGTAGTGTATAAATAATTGATATATTTATTCAACTAAATGGGACTATATAGGCATGCACTGTGGATGCGATACTCCCTGGTGTGGATTGACGTCCGTACAAGTGACTATTCACAGTACTATCCTGATAATTAGACCAATTCGTTAATTACAAGGAAAAGATGTGATCCGAATTCCCTTATAAACTGTAGGTCCCTTACCTTTAGTTCCATTGGCTGTATGGGCCAATTAACAGCTGTGTCTAAGGAAAATGTCGCCCCTAGTCACTAACAAGACTACAAGATCGCGCCACTCATCCTACACTCATTTCCTTTTGGCTTAAAAGCCTACATTATGGCTACTTCATAAGAAAGTATTAAAGCAAGAATTGAGGATTTGTAGTTTTGCACTATGTAACAGATGTGCATATCTACTATTGTGTACGTATCAACACAATTTAAGTATTTGATGAAATTATCAAATTGCATTCAGTTCAACTTCGTAGTTTGCCAACCGAATAGTTGATCTACGAAAGTTTGAGAATAATGGTTGCAAAACTTAGAAGACAATAAGGTGATTTCGTCCCACCTGGTTCTTATTATTGGCCTTAGCTTGGCTCTTAACACCTGCCAAGGTTGACTGAGGCAGTGGCGAGAGCGTGGCTAGGGAAAACGCTACACCGGTTTAATTAATATTCTACTGATTTTATATCGAGGGTGTGTGTGTGTGTGTGTGTGTGTGTGTGTGTGGGGCATAACCGTTTTAAGACTTCATTTTTTGCTTCTCTTGTCTTGGTCATAATTGTCTCTGTACTCTATTTTTTGTGTGTTGACAAAAATATTAGACTCAGTTTAAAAATGTCATTTTTACTACACTTTTGCCTAGTAAATATACTGTATTTTAAAGTAAATAATTGCTGTTGCTGTGGTGACTTTTTTTGTAAAATTCAACCAGTAAATTGACACTTAACAATATATATATATAACGATACACTACCGTACAGATCACATATTCTATAACAAATAGTGCACCTGTTGCTCGAATTCGAGCAATTGCAAAGTATTACATGCGTTATGTTTCAAAACAAATAACAGTCACAATTTCCGATGACTTAAAAGAGTCAACTCAAAGATAGATAATGACATCAATCACTCCACTCCAGTTATCGAAACTGAAAACGAACTCACTCTGAAAACGAAAAGAATGCTCTTGTGTGTATCACGTGTGTTTACTATGAACAGCTGTAATTAATACAAATTATTCGTATGTTTAAGTAAACAAAACTTTTCTTCACAAGAAATATATTGGGATTTTGAAGGCCTGTGGGGCAAAGCCCGAGGACTTTTATTGAACGAACTAGGCGAAACCCGTCGAAATCGACGGTTATTTTCAAGGCTTACGCTAATTCATCTTACTGCGATAAATTGAGTGAAATTGTACATATCGTGAGCATTTAGCATTGTTTAAAGATTAATAAGTGTAAAAACAATAATGATATTGATATTAATTGCATTAGTTACCTAATATGGTTGA